CCATGGGCAAACTCAGGTCCCAAGGAAAGTAGTGAGGGGCGTGGAGTTCAGGTGAAAGGCTTCCCAGTCAGCAAAACCGTTGTCTCCAACGTAGCCCAGGCACCGGTCCTTGCGCCTTCTTCCCAACGGCAGCGCCCCCTGGAGGCGGTCTTCGCGCCTAATCCTGAGGTCTCTGCTCGCAGGTGGTGTGGCCATGGATGGGAGTCAGACCAGCCAACAGAGGGCTGCAGTCATGCGCATCAAATGAACGCGAGGGATGGGCGGGAAAATTCGCGAGTCTACAAATAAAGTCTCCCATATGGCAATGAAGACTACTGCCAGTGGCGCTGCCTCTCTGTCTGGGTCTGGGAGGGATGCAGGAAAGAACCCCTCGGCCAAGGTGGGGACGGCCATATGCATCACCACTCAGGGCTTCTCTCACCCCCACTCTCAGGTCCGAGAATCGCCTAAAACTCGGGACCAAGGAGCGAACGAATTGCATCCCTTCCCCCTCACGAGCCGGGCTCCTGAGTAGGGCTCACTTTTCTCTATGAAGTCAGAGAAGGGATACCTGTCATGTGCTTCCTGGGGGCCAGCCGCCTCACAATGGCCCTGGGAACCAGGGAGAGGAGGACAGGGCGATGTGAAACGGACAGCGGCCTGCCCAGGCTCGCGCAGCTCATGGGCATGGCGAAGGAGGACTGCAACCTGCGTCTTCTGGCTGTGGACCCACTGCTTCCCATTCTGTTTTCCACAAGGAGAAAGGCGCGATGACAGGTGCCCCCAAATCCGGGACAAAGCTGCCGGGTGGACCAAGCGTCCGGCCTTTCCTGCGAGTGTCAAGGCCCTGATGATCACGGGGCAGTGTCTGGGTCGCAGACCCGGGAAAGCACCGAGTCAGGACGGGATCTTTACAGCAGCGGTGCGTAGTGGACGCCCTCGGGAGAGCAGGGGAGTCCTCCACACCACGCCCCGCGGAGAGGAAAGAGGGACCCGGGCTGGGAGGGCGGGGGAAGTGGGAGGGGGCTCCCGCCCGTCCGCTCGCTCCTCGGGGATGCGGATCCGCTCGCACGGCCCCTCGGGTTTGGGCTTCCGCACCTTGACCCAGCCACCTCGGGCTGAACACCGACCACGCACCCGGCCCGCCCGCGCCAGGCAGCCTGGTGGCCGGCGGCGCGCTCCTCGCCCCTCCCGCTGCCGCCGGTGGCCGCCTGTATTTATTCTCGCGCGGTGCTCTCCTGCCAAGCTCCACCCACGCTACCTCGGCTCCCGCCTCCAGCGCTCGCACTCACGTCCCGCGCAGTTCTCACCCCGCGAACCTCCGCTTCAAGCTGTCAGCCGGCTCAGCCGGCGCTGCAGCCCATCTCAGTTTCCGTGTCGGTTCCCTGCCTGGGCATCCTCAATGCCATCAACCTGCCGGGATAACCCCATCGATTTTCGGTCCTAAGCACCCTCCCCTCCATCAGCCGCATGAACGTCTGTCCTGCGCGCCATCAGTGGGCTGTCCGAGCTGTGTGCTCCCAACCAAAATTCCAGTTTGATGGGGGCGGGGCGCTGCTGCTTCTTCACGGAAAACTGCCTAGGAGCCCCAAATGGGGGCCTGGGCGGCGTGGGCCTGAAAGAGATTGGCAATTCTCCGCATTGCTGCCCACGAAGAACGCCACTGAGCACATAGGGGCCTCTCAGCCTTCCTGCTAAGGCTGGGATCCAGGTGTCACCAGGGGGCTTGAGGGCGATACAAGGACTCCTAGCACCGCATGCCTTCTAGCCTTATGCCACCTGCATCCGTGTCCCGGGAGAATGTGCACCCACAAGCCCACAGCCGCCCTCCCCCTTACCACCCTCCCTTTGTTTAACCTCAATCGGAGGTTCCTCTTCTGGGCTCAGTAAGATCCTGTTTTGGAGAAAAGGCTGCAGCAGACCTCACGGATCAGAGGAGAACCTCATCAGGGATCAGAGACCAACCTCCGAAAGGGCCCCAAAAAAGTTACCTGGGGGGAGGGAGGGTTAACTTTGAAGTGTTTGAATGGGAGTTTCTTTTAACCAACCTGAGCCTACTTCATCTGTTTAAAGCATGGGGATATTAATATCCACTGTGGAGGGCTTTGAGCAACCACGCTTGAATTAGGCTTGATGTAGGTGAAGCCAGCTTGTGGGATGCTGTACAAGTGCCTGGCCGTTCTCCACACCTCCTCCCTGGCCCTGTGCCACAATACAGCCCCCAGGCCTTGTTTCTCACTTAGGAGCAGCTGCCTAACTGCCCACCTTTAGGGAACCAGCTGCTTGTTAATAAGCCAAGCTTCGGTTCACAAGCACCTTTTGCTGAAATGGCATCCGGATTACATGACTGTTCCCTCTCCCAGAGGTACGGATCATCTACCAAGCGAGCATAGTTGGAAGGGGAAGAGTATGAGGCCTGAAAGTAGAGGGCCTGGTTCTCAGCTGTGTGACTTCAGGACAAGTTGTTTACTTCCTAGTCCCTCATTTCTTTGTCTGCAAATCGGGAGAAATAACCACACCGATCTCACTGGTAGCAAAGGGCTTGGCAACTAACCAAGAGACTGGTAGTTCAGATCTACTCACAGGTGCCCTGGAAGAAAGGCCTAGCATTCTGCTTCCAAAAATCAGCCACTAAATGCAGGGGGCAAATTGACACAGACTTCTAGCCATAACCAACCCCTTTTTGGGAACGAGTCGTTCGATGGGCCTGGTGTTCAGGGCGATAGTTGCAGGGACATCAAGGTCAACTGGCACAACACAGTCCACAAAGACAGTGTTCTACATCCCACTGGTGAGCAGGGAATGGGGTCTTAAAAGGTTGTAAGCAGCCATCGAAGGTGCAACTACTGGTCCCTCCTCCTCCAGAGCAAAGAAGAGTGAAGAAAATCAAAAAGGACGAATGGACTACGTGAACCTCAGCCTTCACAAACAAACCTGAGAGCAGAACTAGGTGGAGCCCAGCTACCACTGCCAGCTGTTCTCAAAGGGATTACAAGAGAAGGTCCTGGGTAGAGTGGGAGAAAAATGTGGAACAAAAAAGACCAGCCTTATTGTCTGATACAGAGTGGTGGAACCTTGAAGACTACATGGCTCTTACACACATTTCGAGCCTGGAACTGAGCTCACCCCTGTAGCTCAACTTGGAGCCCAATGACAGGACCATAAGGTGAACAAAGACACCATGAAGTTATGCACAACATATGAGATCAAAAGAGCAGTATCTGCCCAGGGATACAGCTCAGAAGGCAAGAAAGGATGAAAGAAGGACAAATGGAAATAGTAAACATGGAAGAAACGGGAGGAGAGGTTACATTGTGAGGACTGTCATCAATGACATGAAATAAAACATGTATGAACTGTTGAATGGAAAATTGATTTGCTCAGTAAACTTTCACCCACTGCCATAGAGTCGATTTTGACTCATAGCAAACCTTTAGGACAGAGTAGAACTGCCCCACAGGGTTTCCAAAGCTGTAAATCTTTATGGAAGTAGACTGCCTCATCTCTCTCCCACGCAGCAGCTGGTGGGTTCGAGCCGCCGACCTTTGGTTAGCAGCTGAATGGTTTAAACTACATCACCAGAGCTTCTAACTTCCACCCAAATCATAGTAAAAAAAAAAAAAAAAAGAATCAACCACTGAAAACTCTAGAAGCACAGTTCTACTCTGAAACACATGGGGTTGTCAAGAGTTGTAACAGACTCGATGGTAACTTTAAAAAAAAAAAAAAATTCCACTGGATAAAGTGTAACTATGCCTAACTCAGTCTTTAGTGCCTGGTACAGGGAGCTCACTACTTGGAGCTGTAACTCCTTCCCAGGCAAGCTTATCTTCCCAACAGCTGGAAACAGAGACTCAAGAGGGAAGGAGCCTCCCCTGTAAAACAGGGCAGCGGCCCACCAGCTCTAAGTGCTAAGATTGATGGAATCCTTCCTACACCCCAGGCACTGTGCGAGTGCTCTACATGTGGCACCTCACTGAATCCTCCCAAGAAGCCAGGAAGTAAGTACTATGAAACCAAAGTATGCGGAGGTTAAGTAGCTTACCCAGAGTCTCACAGCGAGTAATGGAGGCTGCAGGGCGTCACTGCACTGCACTGCACTGCAGCTCCCTAAAGCCATCTAGCATGGACTCCTGGAATTCTGACTCGCCCAGGACAGGTATTAAGCTCTTAGCTGCCTCTACCCTCTCCTGGCTCAATGCTGTTTTCACCACTCTGCTACTTTCCTGCAGAAAATCTCAAGCAAGACAGTGGCTCTTAACTCCCTCTCCATGAAGGGCCTCTACTGTGCCCTGACTATCCCAGGGTCCTCAGAGGCCCCACCCCTGAGGCTCTGTGGTCCCCAGGCTCCAAGTACTGGGATGAGTTCCATGCTTGTGGCCTGACCACCCTCTGGGGCTCCCAGAAGTCATTGGGAGAATCCAGGAAAGTCAGCTTCCAGGAGAGCCTATCTAAACTGCATACCTCCCAACATGCAGGGAGATCTGGAGCTTCCCACTTCACCCCCTGGTGGCTGGTACCTGCCATCCTGCCCTGGCTTTGACCGAGACAGGGCTGCCTAGACTAAAACCAAAAAACTCACTGCCCTAGAGTCAACTCCAATTCACAGCCACCCTTCCTTGGGTTTCTGAGGTGGTATCTCTACGGAAGGAGATTGCCCAGTCTTCCTTCCAAGGCACTCCTGGTGCTGGTGGGTTTGAACCACCGGCCTTCTGGTTAGCAGTCAGATGCCTTAGGCACTATGCTACCAGAGCTCCCAGGATGCCTAGAGCCAGGGGTTAAAGATGCCGTCTGACTGTGACATCCCTTTCTTCTTCCCTCCTTTGGAGTTCTCAGCTGTTTTGAGCATCAACTATGTTCTGAGCATTAGCTATGCAAACGAGTGTCCACTTGTCTCCCCAATGACCCCGAGTTCAGGTGGTGCGGGGAATGAGAGGCAGACTTCAGACCTCTAGAAAGTCAAGGGTACATGCCAACTCAGTAATGGACTAGAAGTCGCTTTCTGACCTAGGTACCATCCTTTACCCTTTGGAAATAAAAACATTTCCTATATTCCCACCGTTGCTTGGAAATCTGTGGCCAAGTTTAATGAAATGCTTTCTTAGTTTTTTTCAAAAGCAGTAATGTGTACAAATCACCATGAATCCTCAGTAAAAACAACTCAGTGTTGAAAAGGGTTAAGTGTGTGTGACTACCAGTTAAAATGTGAGTGGTTCAAACCCACCCAGATGGCACCTCAGAAAACAGACGAAACGATCTGCTTCCAAAAGTTTACAGCCTTGAAACCCTATGGAACAGTCCTACTCTGTCCTATAGGGTCACCATGAGTCAGAATCAACTTGATGGCAATTAACACAGTAAAAAAAGTATGACTGTAAGTGGATTACAGGGTTCTTTAAGCAATCAGATCTTATACATTCCTAAACACTGACCTCTTCAGGATGAAGTTGTAATGTCACTCAAAACCAAAAAAACCAAATTCACTGCCATCAAGTCGATTCCGACTTAATAGCGACCCCCATTGGGTTTCTAAGGCAATTAATCTTTTTGGAAGTAGATTGTCCCATCTTCCTTCTCCAGAGCAGCTGGTGAGTTTGAACTGCCAACCTTCTGTTTAGCAGTCAAATATGCCTTAGGCACTGTGCTACCAGAGCTCCTTATGTTGCTGTTGTTATGTGCCATCAAGTCAGACCCAACTCATAGCGACCCCTCCTTGGGTTTCTGAGGCAGCATCACTACGGAAGTAGATTGCCCAACCTTCCTTCCGAGGAGTGGCTGGTGGGTTTGAACCGCCAGCCTTCTGGTTAGCAATCAAGTGCCTTAGGCACTATGCTACCAGAGCTCCTTATACCTGAGCCCAAATCCTGGCTCTGCCGGCTCCTAAACATGTCACTTTGGGTAAGTTCCTTAGTTTTCTCATTTGTAAGATACAGATAATGGTACTTTCTACTTCACAGGCTTGTTGTGAGGATTAAATGAGAAAGGAGACATAAAGCACTGAGCCCAGTGCACGCGATAAATGTTATTATTAACGTTAAAATGGCACATATGTACACGTCACTCTCATACACCACATGGCAGTGTCGACCACTCTCCTCTAGAACCTCCTTTCATTGTGACTTTACAAGTCATAAAATCTCATTACGGTCAGGTAATTTTGATCCACAAGCTGATCCACTCAGTTCAGTCACTATTATTGGGGAAAAAAAAAGTTTCTCTGACTTTTGGCAATTTTCAAAAAATCAAATTAACACTCAAGGGACAGAGATTTGTTATTACAAAAAATTATGTAAAAAAATGGGCACCAGCCCTTGAAGGTAAAAAGAGGTATTCCAACCACAGCTGGAGCACCAGCCACCACAGCTGGTCAAGGGAGACAGCATCCACTTGTGAGTGTGCTGATGTCTTTCTCTAAGGTAGTCACATGCCCTTAGGGTTTGTGGTGTTTGGGGGAAATTTATTGACCCAGGGGATGTCAGCCCAGCTGCTCTTACCTTCTGGGCCCCAAGGCCAGAACTGAGGTCCCATTAATAAGCCGCTTCCTCCCAGCTTGGCCAGAATACCCTGAATCACTGAGATGCCTTACCCTAGCACTTTCTCATCCTCTGTCAAGGCATGTTTGCTCAAACTTTCACTTGTCGGCCTCAACTCCCTGCTCTGCAGTGCTAAGAGCCAGAAGGCTAGATAGGCTTTCCAAGGAGACAGCAAAACTCCTTGGATTTGGGCAGCCATCACACTGAAAGCTGAAAAAGGACAGCTCTCTTGGGCAGGCTCCAGAGAAACCAAAGATGAACACTAACAGTTTCAATGCCGAAGTGGGTCTAGACCAGTGTGTTGCACTGGAACATGTTTAGGAATCATGGGCAAGTGCAAAAGGATCCCTGAAGGTCATGGCGGTTCACCCAAGGGGCAGTAGAGGTAGCTGCCGGTGGAGGGGGTGGGACACAGGAGTCCCTGCACTTAGTATTTTAACCAAATGGAGGAGTGACTCTGGGGTTCAGGAAAGAAGAAGGTGGCCTATTAACTCTTTACAGCAACCTTGCCTGGCATGGCTGATCTCTCTGTCTCAACCGTGGTATTACAGAGGATAGGCAGACTGTGGAAACACTGTATTTATGTACACAGGACAGCTGCAAGCCCCTCACCAAGGAAACACCACCCCAAGAAAAACCTTAGCAGCAAATTCCTGTCTGCCTCTGCCTATCGGTGCCACCCGAGCTGGAAGTTAGGACTTCTTCTCTGGACACCATCAGACCCTTCCCACTGGAGAATTCCAAGAGGGGCAGGAGAAAGGAACTGCTGTCAGAACCAGGGTTCAGGAGGAAGTGGGATGCCTGGGAATAGGCAGTGCCTCTATTATAAGGGTGAAATTGGGAGCAAAGCTAGGATTCTTCTCTGGGTCTTATGGCCTACTTCCCGGAGGGCTGGCAGCAGGGTGGGGCCTCAGTAGAGGGAAGTGGACGAAAGTCAATCACAGGTCCATGAATGCATGGCAGGCGTGTGGAGGGGCACGTCGTGCGCTTTCCTTGGGCTTGATGCCTCCATCTGCCGTCCTCTCCCTGACAGCAGCCTGCTACTTTGCATCGACATCTCTTTCTATGGCTGTGGGTCCGGAAAGCAAGTCTTTCTCCAGACAGGAGAGCTGTGGTTCAGCAGCACTGTGAAGGTAACAGCTGTCCCAGGCAGGTGAGACAGGTGCCTAGGAGAGTGGTCAGCTCCAATCCGATATCCTTGGTTTTTTGCTTTTTTCTTTACTAAAACAACAGGCTGGTGACAGGTATGGTGGCTCAAAAGTGACATGGTTCCAATTCTGTTATTACCCTCCAAGAGGTCCCCTTCCTGTCCTCCCAGACACCAAAGCTTCAGCAGGCAGAGGCCATTCTTGCAGCCGTGATCCTAACTGCTACCTGCCCTCTTCACTGGGCCTCACTACCTCTCTCACACCAATAGAGACTTCATACTTCCAAGGTTCCTCGCAGACCTGGGCTGGACCTCACCTGGAAGGTCTGAGTAACCCAAGGTGTTGGGGACCAAGTCCCCAGCAGGGTAGCCAAAGGGCCCGCTCCTAGACATTGGATTTAGGGACTGAGTTGAGGGGGATCTCCTTGAGCTCCGTCCGCATGCACAGGTACTCCCCGATGACAGCCATGAGCGCAATGCACACGGCTTGGACCAGCCACCAGGTCAGCGCTGAGGGGAACCGGGAGCTGTAGAACCAGCAGCCCAGGAGGTGAAAGAAATGGACAGTGACAGTGAAATCCAGGCACTGCTTCCCTCGCCGAATGAAGTACAGCAAGCCCAGGGCACTGTGGGGAGAGGACAGCAGCGAGTTGTCACTGGGTTGTCCTGGCCTTCAATTAGGTTATTTGGGGGGTGGGGACAATTATGATGACCGCATAGTGAGATAAGCGAGGTAAGCGTGAAGCGAGGGTTACAGTATTAGACAGCTAGAGGAACCTGACAGATAATGTCAAGGGCAGATCAGACTGGGTAGAAATAAAAAGTACAAGCTTGATGGCAAATGGCATTCATGGGGTCCTAGGGATTGGTGGAGACTATGGCAGCCTGAAGCATACCAGTTCCATCTAAAGTGGGGGAGAGCAGCTCCTTGCCTCCAAGCAAATGTTACCACGTTGGAAGGATGGCCTAGAATCAATAGATGTTCCCATTTTTCAAGAGAAGCCAGAGATTCAGATTTTTATATGAAATATCCTGATTTCCAACTAAGTGAAAAAATGTTCTCAACAATATGTGGGCTGACATCTGTGGAAGCCAAACAATGTATGTGGAAGCCAAATTTAAGTCAAAGTCAACACACCAGTTTTCAACCCCTAGTATAGGGTCAAGATAGGAACAATGTATAAGGCATTGCTCTAAATACTTCCTGTGTGTTAACTCACTTAATCATTACAGATGAGGTGGGTGAAATTACTAGCCATTTTACTGATTATTTTACTGATGAGGAAACTGAGGTTTAGACAGATAAGTAACTCATCCGCGATACTATACTAGAGGTAAGGCTGTGAGTCTGCCTCCAGAGCCTAAGATCTTAATCACTGTGCTAAACCGCCTCTCAAGAGACAGACAATGGTCATGAGTGATCTGAGAGGTGACCCATCAACCCCCTACAGTGAACAGAGCAGAGCCCAGGACCCAGACAGGAGGGAAGTTACTTCGCCAAAGACACACAGTTCAAGAATAGAGCCTAGTTCTCCTGACTCACAGTCCAACAACCCTTTCCTCATCTCACTGTATGTCAGAAAGAATGGTCTGAGATGACAGGCGGTCCCATTAGCAGCATGCACACAGAGACGACATAAGACCTTCCAGAGAAGTTAAAACAGCTATCCAGGGAACTCGAAGGAGAAGGCCCTAGCATTGGCCTCTGCCACCCACTACAGTCCACCACTCCCCAAAAACAAGTGCTCAGGCTGTCTCATTTCCAAATTTAGGAAGTGAGTCCCAGTGCTAAGATCCCAAAAGCCAAACAGCAAAACTGGTGTTACTCACCAGGTGAGGGCGTTGAGGATGAAGGACATCATGGAGAGCCGGCCTGAAGGGGTGGAAAAGCCCAGGATCTAAGGGTGAATCACAAATGGAAACATGCTGGAGAAGTGATTGGCAGAGTCCCCAGCTGCAGGATCCCAGCAGGCTTCCCAAGGAACAAGCGTCCTTCCCAGAACACAATAGCCCTTTCCTCTATATGGCAGCTTATTGCCAGTTTCCACAGACATCCTTATGGTATCTTATGTGACCCTCACAGCAGGAGGGAAGACATTACCACCACCTTAAACAAAACCAAAACCAAAACCAAACTCACTGAAGTCAAGTCGAATCCGACTCAGAGCGATCCCTCTTTGGATTTCTGAGGCAGTATCACTACGGAAGTAAATTGCCCAGCCTTCCAAGGAGTGACAGGTGGGTTTGAACCCCCAGCCTTCTGGTTAGCAGTCAAATGCCTTAGGCACTACGCCACCAGAAGCTCAGAAAAGTGAAATAACTTGCCCAACGTGATACAATGAATAGCCAGCAAGAGTAAAGTCTAGAGCAAGTTTCAGCAAACTATGGCCCTGTGGACCAGGAATGTACTTGTGAATAAAGTTTTATTGACAGAACCACATCAATATATAATCATTTGTATATTGTATATAGCTACTTTTGTGCTATAATGGGACAGCTCAATAGCTGTGCCTTGAAATCCTTCCTATTTCATTCTTCAAGAAAAGGTTTGCCTTCAGGTTGCAAGCAGCAGGTGGCTCTTAACAAAGCCAGGGATTCCCACATGCCCTTCCCAGGAGGACAGACACTCCTAAGAGGCTACTACCCAATACCTGGTAAGTGTGCAACCTCGTACCACACAACCACTGAATGCCAAACACCTGCACACCATTTTCAGGTTACAAAGAAGGCCTTTGATGTTTATTATCTCATATCCTCACAACAACCTCCCAAAGTCGTCGTTATCATTATTATAATTATTATTACCTCTCTTTGGATAGTAACTCACCCAGGGGCTACACAAAGAATAAGCAGCAGAAGCAAAGCCTCTACCCCAGGTCTCCTGACTCCAAAAACAGTGCTCTTTACCATACACCCTAGCTGCCACTCCAATGCAACAACTTCCTAGGTCTCCTTTCACTTTAGAAAGCACTCTCAAATCTCCAAGTCCCTCTGGGTGACTACGTAGGATTATTCTGTCCAGTTTCCAGAAGGTCTCATGAACTAGTATGTCCCATTGCTAGTATTTTGGGGCCTAGATTGGACCCTATGCCCTTGTGAATTAAAAGTGCAGGCTCTTTGTATTGCAGCCAAGAACCTCCCCGTTTCTGGTTTCATGATCTTACAGACCGCAAAACTGGGCTTAGAGAGGCAACAGACAGCACCGGCCAGATCACAGACAGAAAGTGAAACAAACTGACTCCAAAGGCCAGACTGTTTCCACTGCACTGGCATGAATGCGCTTTTACCTACCCCTGTCTCCTGCTGGCAGTGGTTATAGTGCTCGGCTGCCAATCAAAAGGTCAGTGGTTCGAACCCAGCTGCTACGCAGGAACCCTACAGGGCAATTCCGCTCTGTCCTACAGGGTCACTATGAGTGGGAATTGACTCAACAGCAACAGGTAATAGGTCCTCAGTTTGGCATCCAAGAATCTTAAGAGAAGGAAGTTGCACTCTCAGACTCTCAGAGAGAAGATTGATCAGTGCTACCTGGAACGCAGGCTTGTTTTATTATAACGTCCAGACCCTTTCCTCCGTTCTACTCAGCCTCACTGTTACCAGTCATTCCATTTTATGGACGGAGCAGCTAAGATTCAGAAAAGTTCAAGCATTTTCCCAGGGCCACTAAGCATGAAGGTTGCCCAGCTTAGTCAGCCCAGAAAGCTCACTCAGTGAGGCCAAGACCCCGCTCGTGCCAGCCGGGGACCCTACCTCTGCGTCGAACATCTGGTCCAGAGAAGGCGTGCTGCGCACCAGCCCGTCCACCAGCGCCAGCCACAGGCCCAACGAGCCATAATACACGGTCTGCATGAGGACGATCTGCGACAGGATCAGCAACGGATCCCACACGTAGCTGCGGAACTGGCCTGCCATGCCGGCCCTCGGGGCCCGGCCGCCGCCCAGGCCTCTGTCAGAGCCGCCGTGCCATGGGGCCCGGGCCGCCCGGGCACCTGCGGGGACAAGCGCGGTGCCTCAGCCTGCCCGTCATCACCCTGGCAACGCTGCCCCGCCCGGGAGGAGGGAGTGGGACGGAGGGGGCGAGCCCATTCCGGGAGTGGGGGAGGGCGGGGCGGACAAACCCATTCCCGGGGTTAGGGGAGAGCCTGCCCGTTCCAACTGCTCGACCCCTTCCCGTACTCAGGCTCCCCTGGAATTCACTTACGGGCGACAGACTCGAGGATCGAAGCGTCCGAGCGCGGCCCGGCCTCACCGAAACAGCGCTGACAGGCAGGACCATGGAGAAGAGACCCTACCGGCCTAGAGAGGCAAAGGTCCAGCAACGGCGCCGGCGGTAGCGGCTACGTAAGAAGGAAGCGTTTCCGGAGACGGCGGCGGAGGGGGCGAGGCTGAGATTGCGCAGGCGTAGTGGGTACGAATCAACTAAACGAGGGTCCGGGTAGCAGGGAAACGAAGTGTGGACATGCGTAGAATGAAGAGTGAAGGCGAACGGAAATGAGGCACTAAAACGATGGAGCTTGCGTGCCCTCTAGAGGATAAGTTTGAATAACCTTGAATAAAGTAGAGGAGGGAGGTTGGCTAGGGTATAGGGAATGCTGTTTGGAGTTTAACGAGGTGATTAACCTTGATTCTGTTTTCAGCCTAGATTCCCAATGTTTGCTTCTCCTAGTTAGATTCTAGTATAACTTGAACCTACAAGCTCTTTGACATATACATGATTTCACTACTGTTTCCGTTTTGCAGACTATTAAACTAAGCACTAGAGAAAGAGAGCAACACACTTATCTCAAACACATAGTGTTAATGTCAAAGGAAGGATAAGAATTCAGCTGTTTCCAACACCATAGTAGTGTTCCCGGCAAGGATTTTGTGTTTACTGGGTGCCAGGAGGGTTAGGATACCTAACCCATTGGGCAGTTTCTGCTTCAAAATCTAGATAGAAGGCAGAGTGGTAGATGTTTTATAAGGTGAACAGCCAATGGAAAAAGCACAGGTTGTGAAGTCGTATGTGGGTGTAAATCCTGACTCTGCCTGTAGTCATGATTGTTTATTTCTGCTTTCTCTGACTTCAGATTGTGTGGACAGTGGACAGTCAATAAATATTTGCTGAATGAGTCAAGAACAGAGAAAGGAAAACAGCAAGTTGATGAGTCACTTTCATTCCTGACCCAGCAGACCAAAACTTCTGAACTTCACTGATCCTAAGTATTTCTTCTCTGGAATGGAAAGAGAGGAAGTAACTCATTCCATGAAAGAGCCTGAGTTCAGAGCCAGCTATACTACTTAGCTGTGTGACTAAGCAAGCCACTTCCTTCTTTAAACTTAACTTCCCTGTTTATGAAATGAGGGCTTGGATAAGATTAACGTTTTCCAACATTTAATCTATCTCCACTAATTATTTTCCCATTAAGAAAAAAATTATCAGACACATGTAACTGCCAATCAGAACTCCTGAACAGCATGTGACAACCATGTTATCACCTTGAGTTGATACAATTTCAGACAAAAGGAAAGAAATTTGAGACTTTATCCAGGTATATGGTTACCTTTATCATTTGGAAATACTGTAAACAGTTTAGAAGCTCTGGTAGAGTAGTGCCTAAGACACCTGACTGCTAACCAGAAGGCTGGCGGTTCAAATCCACCAGCCACTCCTCGGAAGGAAGGTTGGGCAATCTACTTCAGTAGTGAGTGGTACCGCCTCCGAAACTCAAGGATGGGTCACTGTGAGTCAGGTCCAACTTGACGGCACATAACAACAACATAAACAGTTCACTGCACCTCCAGTTTGGGAGTCATTAAAACTAAACCAAACTCACTGCCATTGAGTTGATTCAACTCATAGCAACCCCTCCTTGCGTTTCTGAGGTAGTATCTCTATGAAAGTAGATTGCCCAGTCTTCCTTTCAAGGAGGGTGGGTTTGAACTGCCAGCCTTCTGGTTAACAGTCAAATGCTAGCCCCAAAATTTCTGAGGTACTTTCCAGCTCTACTATCCTTTTTGCTGGCTCAGTTCGGGTCAACAAACTGAATATATTCAGATCCTTCTAGTCCACTGATTGCTCACATGATAGAGTGTTTCTGAGAAAACATCTACTGTTTAGTCCTCACAATCCAAGATATTAACCCCTTTTTTATAGCTGTAGAGCTCCCGGAGTGGTGCGAACTGTTTGTGCTCAACTATTAACCTAAAGGTTGGCAGTTCAAATTCACCCAGAGACACTGTGTAAGAAAGACCTGGCAATCTGTTTGCATGAAGATTACAGCCAAGAGAACTCTATGAAGCAGTTCTGTTCTGACGCACACGAGATTGCCCTGAGTCCATGGCAACATTTTTTTTCTTTAATAGCTGAGGCAAAAGAGACTTAGAGAAGGGGCTCAGAGAGGCCTAGGTCAATATGCTCATAGGAAGCTGAGTTTAGATTCACACCTAGGAAGGCATCTGACTCCAAACACCAAGACACCAGCTGCTGTAGGAGAAAAAGAAAAGAAAGGGGCAGTGAAACAGACAGGTGGTGGGTTAATGGGAAATAGAGAAGGAACAGTGAATCTCTCCGCCAAGAGAGCCCCGGGGGTGAAGGATTAGGACAAGGTGGTTGGAGAGGCTCAGTTAAAGTGTTGGAGAGTTGATTTAAACCCGAGGAGCTCTACCTTCCTGCCAGCTGCTGGAATGTGAGGCTTTTCCGGGAGTCCGCCCCCTCACCTCTAGGCCAGGCCCCCTCCGCCCAGTCTCCTCCCCACAAAGGAAGGCACTCCCTACCATTCTCCTGAAATGGGAAACTCAGGTAGCCTGGATCGTGAGGGGCGGCCGTGGGCAGACTGGATGGCTGGTGTCTGATGTCATCCCTGGAGCCCAGAGCTTTCCTCTGGGAAAACCCCAGCAGTTTACAAACCAGCCTCCGGCCGTTTCCTTTTCCTTTTGGGGTTTCAGTTCTTGAACTCTCACCTGGCCAAGTGCCGGAAATGGGCACCATCCTGTGTCTTAACTTAGGTCCAATAAAGAAATCGGAGTTAAGGAAAACCATGACAACTGAACCGGCCTGCTTGACCCACTTCGGAAATTCGACCTCAGAAAGGGCTGTAGCTTAGGACCTCAGAGTCTGCGATAGAGCCCTGCTGACTTGTGTAACCTTGGACTAGCCCCTGGCTGGATCTTTGTTGTTGTCTGCTGCCAGTTGATTCTGACTCAGGAATCCTATAAGACAGGGAAGGTTGAGCAATCTACTTCCCTAGTGATACTGCCTCGGAACCCCAAGGAAAGGTCACGTGAGACGGATCCGACTCTACGGCAGTTGTTGCATTGAGTTTAACTTCCCCATAGGGTATCCTAAGCTGTAAATCTTTACAGGAGCATGTCACCAAGTCATTTCTCCTGCAGAGCTGCTGGGCGGGTTCGAATCACTAACCTTTTGGTTAGCAATCCTGTGCTTAACCACTACACCACCAGGGCACCATTCACGGAATTTTAGTGTCCCTAATTGTGGGAGCTCTGGTAGCGTGTAGTGCCTAAGGCACTTGACTGCTAACCAGAAGGCTGGCGGTTCACACCCACTAGCCACTCCTTGGAAGGAAGGTTGGGCAATCTACTTCCATAGTGATACTGCCTCTGAAACCCAAGGAGGGGTCGCTATGAGTCAGGTCCTACCTGATGGCACATAACAACAACAATTATGAAATAAGGAGTTCTGGTGGCTAGTGCCTGAGGCATTTGACAGCTAAACAAAAGGTTGGTGGTTCAAACCCACCAGCCAGTCTGCGGAAGGAAGACTAGGTAATCTAGTTCCGTAAAGATTTACCGCCTCGGAAATCCACTGGGGGTTGCTATGTGCCATCTCAATGGCAGTGAGTTTGGTTTGTTTGGTAATTATAAAATGAAAAAGGGCCTTGGACTCTGACTTCCAAATGCAGTCCATGGCCCCGGGCACACACTGCATACTCAGATTCCCAGGCCTTGTTGCAGGCCTTGTTCTGAGCATCCAGAAGCAGAATGTGTAAATCTGTGTGTAATTCTGAGTAATTCATATTTGGTAACTACAGAAAGAGGTGGTTTGTAATTGACCTCAAACCAATTCTTCTGTCTAACAGAAAATTTCTGTGTGACCTTGGTATGTCCACGGCTCTCTCTGGGCCCCAGGGTTTTTCCATCTGTAATATGAGGGGGTTGGACTCGAATAGCTGGTCTCCCAGGGCCCTTCTTACGCTGCCAAGTCTGTGGTTCCAAACTTATGAATGAAACGTTAAACTTCAGGTCAGAGGCGGAGTGACAAACAGCCACTAGCTGGGACAAACTGTCCCGTGGGAGGAGGGAAGGACAGTACTTCTGTCGCTTGGTCACTTGCGTCACTCCTACATCAGGCCCCAGCTGTGGGCATGTAAGGACAGCCCTTGCTGGGGTCACTTTCTGGATGCAATCCCACAATTCCCTTAGGAAATGTCCTAGCATGGGCCCATGACCTTTGGGTGACCTTGGGCAAGTCAACTTGTCTCTCCTGGGTCTCAAGTGGTTTCCTTCTCTATGAAATGGGAAATGAGAATAGTAAGTACCCATGTCACGGGCTGTCCTGAGAATCAATGTGTACTTACCCCACTGCCTAATATGCAGTCATTAGTGCTGTGCAAATGGTAGTGGTGTTCTGTGCCACAGAGCAATATTAAGTATTGTTATTATGTCTTGCCTTGTACTGTGAGGGTGGTAATACCTCTTCTCTTTGATTTATGGCAAGGATCTAACTAGATAGCAGAGAGAGAGAGAGCTCAGCCAGGGCCTGGTACACAGTAGGGGCTCAGTAAGTATGGAGCTATCCTTTTCTAACCCCGTGCCTCCCTCCAAGATCCCCCAGTTCCATCCCTTTTTCCCTTCTTCCTCCTCCAGGTTGCCTCACTTCCTTGCTCACATTTTCCCTTTCGGGGAATGTTTGATTAAAACACTTCAGCAAGATACATGCCTCAGGGGCAGGTTATGCAACTCTGTGCTTACACTTTTTGGAAACTCCCTGTGGGAGGCTAGCATTTGGCTGCCTGTCCTCCGTATTAGTGACCATCTTGGGCTGCAGCCAGTGAGCTCTTCTCTTAAAAGAGTAACTGGATAGAGGGCCCATCAGCTGGCTGTTTTCTCCCCGAGACTAAGAACCCTTTGTCACCAATGGTTCTAAGGGCTGTGTGTGTGTGTGAGTGTGTGTGTGTGTGTATTTTGGGAGGAATGTTTAATGAACATCTATTCTGTGCCAGATATTTATATTATCTTAATTCTTATGTAATTTCTACAGCAAGCCTATGAGTTA